CGCTTATCTATTTACCGTACTCTTTTACGCGAAATGGATTTTACTGATTACCGCGACAAAAAAATACATAAATTACTCTAACTTCTTAATTTTAATATCGACACTGTTTTCAAAAAAAAATGTATTATAAGCAATAATAAAATTTAAATATATTATTTTCTTATCGTTTCTTTTAATTTTTTCTAGCAATAAAAAAAGGCTTCCTTACATGGATCTCTGCAAGTTTTCCTTCTTCTCTTTCGCAGTCTTCTGTGCGGTCCGGTACAGTCTGTTCTAGGGTACCACTTGAAGCTGATGATTTTATTTTTCCACGTGTTTACGTGGCATGGAGATCTTGTCGTGGTCTTCGACTCGGTTGGTCGTCAGATAGGGTTAGAAGATATTGAGGCAGCGTGTTTGCCCACAATATTCTCCACCTGCACAGCTATTGCAGAAGGTAACCACCGTTGCTTGTGCTTCTGACGGTTAATTTTGTTCTGATGTATCGGTTGCGGCAAACTGCTGCCCACAACGGCCGGTCACTAAGTAGGTGCCCCCGCAGTCGTGTTAAGATTCGAAGTACCGATCGAGACCAGGAGGTGGCCATGATCAGTGACGATGACGCTTCTGTATCCCTTCTAGTAAGCTGGTAGCCGGGTCGTGGCTCCAGCTATCACTATTGCGGTAATTGGTAAAGAAATACGGTGCCTTTAGTAGGGGAGCCTTTATTTTTTCACTGTTGGCTCCGAACTGACTAACCTAAGAGAGGAAGAGCTTAATCGTAACCCTAACTCGATCGCGCACAGATCGCGGCCGACGACCAGCACCCGTCGTAAGACATCATGAGCCGTTCGTCTTCGTGCTCTTGGCTCCGATCACCGTTGCATTGTTAACTCAACTTGATAACTTAACTTTGAATTTGATGAGAGCTACTTTTGTCAAAACATTACGATATGTCAAATTTCATAAGGATCGCTTGACTATATCTTATAGCTGCCATATGACTGAACGATCGAAAATGACACAACTTTCGTGTTTTTGAAGATAGAAAGCTGAAACTTAGTACATATTCTATTTTTGGTCCAACCTATCAAATTTCATTAGGATCGCCTGACTATATTCTATTGCTGCCATATAACTGAACGATCGGAAATGGTATTTGGTAGAAATATCAACTTTCGTATTTTTGAAGATAGAAGCTTGGGACTTTTTTCAGCCTCCACATTCTTCATTCATCACATTAATCATACCATCATCTCGGGATCACAGGAAGGGCCGATCCACGAAGACGGCTCTCCTCGAGATAACTAAGTTCGTCGAAACGGAACTTAGTGACCAGGAATACGCGCTTAGTGCATTTCTAGACATAGAAGGAACGTTCAACAACATTGCGCCATGTTTAATAATCAACGCGCTGAATAGAGGTAGACAATCAATCCGTGCAACTGATAATGCAGATCCTGGTAAACAGGACTGTTGCTGCGACACTAGCAGGAGAGCTTATTAAAGATTAATTAGGAGAGGCGCTCCCCAAGGATGTGTTTTCTCCCCTTTCTCCTGCGTATACGGATGATTTTGCAATTACTTTCTCTGGAAAATTTCTTCAGACACTATGCATCCGCATGACGGGCAAACTGAGGGTTCTCTCAGCATGGACAGGTAAGAACGGGCTAAGAGTAAATCCATCCAAGACCGAACTTGTCCTCTTCACTAGGAAGTACAAAATACCCAGTGTAAGGCTTTCGAAGCTATCCACAGTGGCCGATTTGGGTAATTTAGCGTCAGATGTAGAATATCATTAAAAATAATGATAATTTTTAAATGTTGGAAATTTGTATGGAATGTTACCCCAATAAAAAATAAAATTTAGTAATTTGAATTAAGTAAAATTTTTTGTTTATGTTTTTAAATTAAATTTTTTTTTTTTAAATTTTTATTTATTTTTAAGATGCAGTTTTACGAAATAAACTTGTTTTAATTGTCCTAGTCTGAATCTAAATTTTTTTCTGATTCAGAATCCGAATTTTCTTCTTGAGCATTGTAGTCCAGAAGAAGATTTTGGCCTTCAATCTTGAAGGAAACTGCCTTGCTGTAGTTATGCGTGTTGCCTTGCTGTAGCTTGTAATTAGTGAATCTGATCCTCCATTGTGTTTTGGCGAGAGTTTTTACGCGTATGGCTAAAGCGAAAATCTTAAATTTTTTTGTCGGGCTTCTAAGGCTTCTTCTGACATCATTCCCATCGGAAGTGGTACATTTTCTATAATATGTGCCCCGTGAATCTATAATATAATATCTATAATATGCCATGCTCATCCAAAAGAACCAAATGTTCGGTTAACCAACCCGAGTTCTTCCGCTCCTTACATCTATTCGATTTTTTCCATCTGTTGGAAAGAGTTTTGCAAAAAATTTTTAATGGTACATTCTACAGATGTCAAGTCCATCTCGGAACATTTTTATGTATCATTTACATCGCTAAAAATGTGGTCAAACACTGCAAAACTCTTCTTTGTGGCTTCTGCTTCCCCATGCCATACTGCAAAAAGTGCTTGTTTACAGGCGGACATGATTGCTGAAAATATCGCTAAATTTAACAGGGGCACGTTGGGGCAGCTGAATATGGATAATTTATGCACTAGACGAACCATAGGTCACCACAGATATACCCTTATTGCGTGCCGAGGCGACCTTCATAAAGTTTTCCTCTACAGAAGTTGAAATTTGTTATAAAAAAGGGTACTACAAACATTGCTGGTTAAAATTATAAATAATATAATATTATTTATATAAATTATAAATGCAACATCTACACACAGGTCACAAAACCTTTATTTTTGTTTACTACATACCTTGAAATTTGAAAAAATTTTACAATTAATTTCAAACAGACAAAATAAAAAAAAAATTTCGCAAATATGCAAAGACATCGATCAAGCCAAATTCAACACCTGAAAATAGTATAGTACCATATGTTAGCTTTAATAGCTTACAGCTGATCTAAATTATCAAGTTTATAGCTTTTGGTATTTTTTGACGATATTCAATTATTTAACTATCCGTAGGAAACAAAATATTAATGAATTTAAACAGTTGAAAATTTTTTTAATCTGACGCTAGAAAAGCCAAATCGGCCACTGTGCTTTAAGGGAACACTCCTACCCACAATGGTTAGTCCAAGTACCTTATAAAGACGCTAGACAGATCACAGCTTCAATTTTTTCAGAAAGTAATTCATAACATTATTTTCTTACGGAAAATTACGTCGGGGCGCAAAAAATGTAGCCGTATCTCATTGGTATACCCTTGCAGAGGGTATTATAATTTTGTCCAAAAGTGTGCAACGCAGTTATCAGGATCGCCTCTTGAGTTGACCTCCTCACAGCATGTCCGTCTGTCTGTTTCTACGCAAACTTTTCTCTCAGTTTTAGAGCTATCGACTTGAAACTTTGCACACACCCTTCAAGACGATAGCTTTAAAACTGAGAGAATAGTTTGCGTTGAAACACAGACGGACAGACGGACATGCTCATATCAGCTCAGGAGGTGATACTGATCAAGAATATATATACTTTATAGGGTCGGAGATGTCTCCTTCACTGCACACTTTTGACCAAAATTATAATACCTTCTGCAAGGGTATAAAAAAACAGTAAAAAGTGTCTTTTGGTGTAAATTGGTTATACACCAATTAGTCTCTATTGGTTATATTAGTTTCAAATAATAAGTTCGTTTATTCCCTTGATTTTTAATTTCTCCCTTGATTTCTGTCTCTCTCTGCAGTACGTTCTAAATTATATAAGTTAACAGAAGTTAACGGAGCAGCGGCAATGTCCGGTTATTTAAGAGCTCGCTCTGGCCAAACTGCTGACACAGCGTTTGGCCGGATGCCCATACATAGCGGCGAGCACTGCATATTTGCGTGGCCGCAAAATGTATGAAATACATTTTTTTAGCTTTAAGTTTCAGTTTGTATCGGAATGTCACTCAATAAAGGGGACTTGATTTCAATACTCTGGCACAGCCGTTAAATAGTAAATTCATTATGTTGAATTGGTCACCGCGCCTCAAGGGCCGTGATAACGGAGAAAGTAATTCCTGTCGTAGAACGAATTTCCCTCGGCAACCGCCAGGGACCCAAACATACCTATTAAGAAGAAAGAAACCCCTCGGCAACCGCCAGGGTCCATACGCATCCCCTACACCTGTAACGACTCCAACATCAGCGAGGGATAACCCAAGCACACCATAACACACCCATATTTAATTTACTTATAAACATTTGTGTTTTTCCATGTCCATCCGTCGAATATTACGCAAACTTGTATTTAATTTAATTTAGCTTTAAGTCTATCGGAACACACATAGCTTTTTGCCATCTATGTACATACATATATATAAATATATATAACATACACAAAATCTTACAATTGAAAGACATTAAACATCGATGTATTCGTTCGAGGTATTCATGAAAATAAAACAATCAATTGATGTGATTATTAGTAGATAGATGTCAACTTACCTATTATTCCTATTGAATTGGCAGAATATCATGTTTACTTTTAAGCAGTAAACAAATTTATATAAAATTTCAAAGCGGTGAAAAAATACATTTAAAATAAGAAAAATAGATGCATTTGTTTTCTATTCATTTTTTTTGCAATTGTTTTCTCTTAGTCAAAAAATTAACATGTATACCTTTACATGTGTATTCGTACATTTAAAAAACCAAAACATACATATATGTATATAATTCTAATTATATCTAATCTTATGCCTTTGCATACTTGGCATAAATATGTCATATATCATTTATTTACATTTACATCATTACATTTATTTACATCATTTATTTATTTAGTTAATAGATGACAAACTGGCATATTGCATTTTTAAGTTATTCTTTTTGTTATATATTGCTATAAATTAATATTGGTAATTTTTATACTCGATAATACGTCACATATGTACAGGCGCCAACACACATTCGATTTTTTCGATCTCTTATTTATATTTTGTACCTTTGTTATCTTTATGTGCTTCTTAAGTATTCTTATCATTTCCTTTCATTTTGTGTTTAATTGATTTGTTATATTAAAGTTTTAATTTTTCCTCTTTTTTATTTTGCTTTGATCCGTAATGCGCTTTAAGTATAAACATATATCTAACAACGCTGTGTATGTACAAACTTTTTCTAGAACAAAATTCGTTTCTTTCCTTTAAGCTGTGGTTTCCTTAAGTGCTTTTTAAAGCGCCATCTAGTTTTGCCATCTAAAAAGGTTTCGAAAGCTCACGCAAATTAAAAAGCTTCAAGCATCTTTCAAGATAATTAATAATATAGTCTTGTACTTAAAATGTCTGGAAAAAGTAATAGATCTCTTCGTTACAGCTGAGAATTTTGAAATATTTTCATTTATTTTCAATTTTTTATATTTTTTTGCAGATTATAATAATTTTAATTGAAAATATCGATAGGTCGATAAGAAATCGGTAATAAATTATTTGTGGAACTTTGGTTGTTATATGTATCCTAAAAAAATTTAGGACATTTTGAAATAATATTTTCTATATTAAAGCATGGGTTCTGGGAATCGCTTCCCTTATTATTATGGAGGGTTTTAAACGCCTCCTAAAATTAATTTGAATTTAAACATTGACAATGTTGGCAACAATTGATTTAAGAAGTCCTTTGTGGATTTTGAACCTATGGGTGTAAAAATATTATTTTAAAATGATTTTTGTTCAAATTGGAGCAGTTGATGCCATGAAATTGGCATTAAAATATGGTTTATCCGACAAATCTGATATGACGAGAAAAATTTATACTTATTTAATTAGATCTCTAATTTTTAGCGCATAGCATTCAAAAAATTGACTTATGCAAGCATTTACATTGATTTTTTACCTTATTACAATAAGAAATATAAAAATGGCTTGTAAGTATATCACTGACCCCGTCAAACGGGATAAAATATTAAAATTTTTAATTTTTTTTGCTAGTAACCTGTAAAACATATTTTGATGCCAGTTGACCCGGTTGTAATCCCCATTTCGATCTGAGTATTGGGGGCGAAAAGAACCCTTCAAAAACTGTTTTTCACCTCTCGCTCACTCCCGAAGATGAAAAACAGTTTATGTCGATCTGAGTACTATAATTTTTATAATTTTCTCACTTTATTTAAATTTAAATGTCTGAAATATTCAGAAATAAGATAAACTCAGAAATTTTTTTTGTCCCAAAAAAAAATTTTTTTTTTGGCTTTAACGACTTTATTTACCTCCTAATTCCAGATAGAGTCCTAAAGGACCTATGCAGCGGCCTGTGTACAGCTGTCTTTTTCTACACGAACTAGTCTCTTAGTTATAGTTTAATACTACCCACTTCAAACTTTGCACACATCTTTTTTCCTTCGAACGCAGTGTATAAGTCGGAACAGCAGAAATCGTCCGACCATATCCTATGATATGCTCCTATGCATGAATGAGAAGACTTTGGGGGTTTTCAAAACTCGACTAAATCCAAGTAAGTTTTTCCAAGTAAGTCACTTTTTTTAGACGTGATCGACCTCTGCGAAAGGTGGGATAAGTCCTCATATCGGTAGACACTTATCTCGCTTTTAAAAAATTAAAATAAGAAGAGTTTGGCGATAAAGAACTTCTTTCCTTTAAAATCATTTTATCCTCTAAAACTTTGTATGTTACCTGTTCATTTAATATACGAGATGAGTTCAAAATTTAAAGTTAATTTTCAAATTTCGCGGGCAACATATTTTCGATGATCGATTTTTTTGTTTTGTTATGTTGGTACACTTCCTTAAAATCTGTACCAAGTTTCAATTGAATCCCCTTTTTTATTTGGTTGTGAGAGGCGTAAAGGTTACAAGTTTTTTTGCGTGCTCGGCGATTTTTTGCTATCGAAAAATATGGATCAAAGGATTAGCATCAAATGTTGTGTGAAAAATAAAATTAAGTGCTCTGAAACACTTGAAATGTTGACAGTGGCATACGGTGAAACTGTTCTGAATAAAAAAAATGTTTACAAGTGGAACAAACTCTTCTAAGATGGCCGGGAAGATGCCAATGACGATCCAAACAGTGAAGAAAATCTACTAAAATCACTGTTTACAAACAGTGAAGTTTTGGAAAATCTTCGAATCACTATCAGAGAAGTTTCTGAAGATGTCGGTACATCGCTTGGCTCGTGCCATGAAATTTTTTCAAACGTTTTTGGCATGAGTCCGTTTGTCAGCGAATTTTATTCCGAAATTGCTGAATTTTGACAAGAAAACTGTCGCATGACTATCGCTCAAGAGCTGTTGAATGCCGTCAACGACGATCCAGATTAACTCAAAGGGCCACACCGGTGACGAATCATGGGTATATGGTTATGATATCGAAACCAAAGCCCAATCGTCCAAAGCCAAAGCCCAATTTGAAAAAGTCAAAGTTTTGATCACTGTTTTCTTCGATTACCATGGCGTTGTGAATCAGGAGGTTTTACCATATGATCGTACGCCGTTTGCGAGAAGCAATACGAAAGAAACGTCCAGAATTGTTGAAAAAGAATTCATGGCTTTTGCATCATGACAATAGCCCTGCTCACTCATCTTTGCTTGTGAGAGATTTTTTTGCCAAAACAACACCACAATACTGCCTCAGCCACCATAGTCACCAGATTTGATCCCATGTGACTTTTTCTTGTTCCCAAAATTAAAGAGACCTATGGAAGGCCGGAGACGATTGTAGCAACGATTGTAGAGATAAAGACTGCATCGCTGGAAGAGCACAAGGCTATACCGAAAAATACTTATGGGAAGTGCTTTGAGGATTGGAAAAAACGTTGGCATAAATGTTTTGTATCTGAGGGGGATTACTTTGAGGGGACAACATAAAAATTGAGAAACAAATTAATAGTTTTTCTTGAAAATACGAAGTTACCTTACTTTTAGAACACACCTCGTATAACTTTTTTGCCTAAGCCGCCCTCATACTGGCATCATTTTCTACTATACAATCCGTTTCTTATCTTTTGTCTAGTAGTGACCAGCTTGTAGCTCAGGGTGACTTTAGCAACCCAGAACTAAATTGGTCTAATGTCGATAGCTCAAAGTGAGTCACGAAATGTCCCTAGGTCAAATTAACAATGTAAGAAATTAGGCCGTTGGGTCGGCTATTACTCTCATGTTTTTTATATGATCCATATGATAGCACTCTTTCCACAGCTTGACCCTTTTTAACCCCAGAGGATCCATATCACTCTACGCTTGAGGATTCAATCGAAAAATTTCTGGTATCGATCAGAAGCTTCCATGCGTGGATAGCGGCTTTCGTCTTGCCGCTAAGTTCTCCCGAACTCTTTTAGAACGTAAGCATTTGCCCCCTCGCAAGCTTGAGTCAGATATAAACAAATTCCCCCTATCTAACCGCCAACTACAAAAACAATGATACAATTGTACAATTGGGGGAGCGTTGGTGGCGTGATCTATTCGGATGTTTATAGATCACGCCACCAACGCTCCCCCTTTTGGAAATTCGGTCGCTATCCAAACTTCTTTGCTGATCAAAGCAAAACCAATTCGGAAACCAAGGAATTGGGACGAAGAAAAGAAATGTTGTGCTTATAACTTCAACCTTTAATAAAGTTATTTTTTATATATCACAACTGGTACTGTGTTGTTAATTGGCGCTCAACTAAGAGGCCCGCGTTAAAAAAATATCTTAATTAAGTCCTCACACAAAATAGACATTTGGTAATGGGCTTTTACAATTTGGTTAATAAAAAATTAACCCTTCTAAGTAATAAAACCATAATGACCTATGGGAAAAAATCCCATAACAATGGAAACACAGGCAAAATGCCTTTAAGGTTTTTATACCCGGCCTAAAGGACAGAATCTGGGCAACCAATTGCGCTTCATAAAAAATCTCAGAATTCTGATAATTATCAAAATTATAATGGGCAAAAACAAAATTTTAAAAAGGGGAACAACAACTGTTTAAAATTTGATAATTATTAAAATTATTGAATACTTATCAAAATAACACCTACCAAAAAACTAAAGATCCGACACAGGGATAAACCCAATAACAAATCAAGAGTGAACCAATGGATGTGGACCGCAGTATCCAAATCCAAAAAAAACAAAATAGACCCAACAGCCAAATATATTTTAAAAGTGGGCAATATAATTTATATATAATTTATAATTTTTATATAATAAAATATAACTTATTACCATACAAAATCTTTAAAAATACCCAAGCTTCTAACTTCAAAAATACAAAAGTTGGTATTTTTACTAAACCCCATATACCATTTCCGATCGTTCAGTTGTATGGCAGCTATAAGATATAGTCGGCCGATCCTTATGAAATTTGGTTGGTCAACTGACTGAAAATGGAATCTGTACGAAGTTTCAACTTTCTATTTTCAAAAATCGGCCGATCTCGGTCGTTTCGACTTATAAACTGCAAAGGAAAGAAGGGTGTGTGCAAAGTTTCAAGTCGATAGCTTTAAAACTGAGAGACAAATTTGCGTAGAAACAGACAGACGGAAAAACAGACGCACCTGCTTATATCAACACAGAAGGTGATCCTTATCAAGAATATACACTCAAAATAAAATTAACCCTAAGATTTAGAAATTTGCCTTATTTTTGTTTTCAATGGCACCGCACCATAAAATTTAGGGTAAATTTTTCTTAAATTAATGGCATTCCCTTTCTAATATCTAGGGCCAATTGCCCTAAAAATAAGAAAAAAATTTCTACAAAATAGAAAAAAATTTCTTAAACTTAGGGTTTTTTTTTAAGTTTTAGAAAGTACTTTCCTAAAACTAAGGAAAAAAAGTCTTGATTTCATGGCGACTTTTTTCTAAGCCCCAGCCCCCAAAATTAAGAAAACCCTTTCTTCAATACATACAAAATATATTGAAATGTAATTTCTACATCTTACATTACATATTACATCTTACATTTACATATTTTTACATTATTTTTACATTTAAATTTGTTTCTTTTGATAGCTCTCTTCAGCTCTTACTTTTACATAAGACTTTATTTTTATACCCTTGCAGAGGGTATTATTTTGTCCAAAAGTGTTTAACGCAGTGAGGAGACATCTCCGACCCTATAAAGTATATATATTCTTGATCACCTCCTGAGTTGATCTGTCCGTCTGTCAGTCTGTCCGTTTCTAAGCGAACTAGTCTCTCAGATTTTAAGC